TTTGTCAATTCTAGAACTTCCTTATGTTCAATCATAGAAAGGTACTCTTGTGTACGGGCTTGTTTTATTCAACACAAGGTCTATGAGATTCATCTGTATCTCATGTTTCTTTTTTATTGCTGTGTGATCATCTTTTATGTGAATGTATCACTCAGTTTGCTTATCCATCCACTTGTTGATGATCATTTGGATCATTTCCAGTTTTTGATCACTGCATATGATGTTTCTCTGAACATCATTCTTGTGAAAGAGTTAATGCAGTAGACCTAATATTGCTGAATGCTTATATGTTTTCAGGGAGGTCCTGCCTGTGTGGCTTACCTTTGACTACCAGAAACTTAGCCCTTGGTGTGTTCTCTATGTTACTAATTGAAAGGTGGTTTTGTAAAGCTGTATATGGAACCATGCACTACCGACTAGTTTAGATTGTTCAAAAACATAATTTTTGGTGAATTCTTGCTTTCCTTTTTGGAGTCTGTAGCTTTGGTAATCAAAACTGGTCACTTTAGGCAAATACGCTTGTTTTGCAAGTCTCCAATAAATGCCCTGGACTCTGCGAATCAACCAAGCTTCTCTGGGCAGAAGTCCTTTAACATAAGTTGTTGTGCCTTATTGCTTGGGAAGAAAATTGTTGGGTCATGTGATAGGTGTATGTTTAACTTGTTAAGAAACTACTAAACAGTTTTTTACAGTGTTGTACCTCACTCCTACAAGTAAAGTATGATAGTGTTAGTTGTTCTGCATTCTTGTCGACACATGGTATTGCCAGTTTAATTTTAGCCATTTAGATTTATTTTGCATTTTCCTGATGACTTACGGTGATGAGCATCTTTTAAAATGTGCTTATTGGCCATTGTATATATTTTCTCTTTCTTTTGTTCTTTCTTTCTTTCGTTCTTTTGTTCTTTTTGATGCAGTCCTGCTCTGTTGCCCAGGCTGCAGTGCAGTGGCACAATCTTGGCTTACTGCAACCTCTGCCTCCTGGTTTTAAGTGATTCCCCTGCCTCAGCCTCCTGAGTAGCTGGGATTACAGGTGCTTGCCACCATGCCTGGCTAATTTTTTTGTATTTTTAGTAGAGACGAGATCTCACCATATTGGCCAGGCTGGCCTGGAACTCCTGAACTCAGGTGATCCTCCTGCCTCGACTTCCCAAAGTGCTGAGATTACAGGTGTGAGTCACCATGCCCAGAAATTGTGTATATTTTCTAAAGTGAAGTATTGAAATCTGCCCATTTTTAAAAAAAGGTTGTCTTTTTATTGAGGTACAGGAATTTGTCTTACACTTTGCTATGCTAATTAAATATAATGATAACTTAGGTGTTCAAAAGATTGTTTATCACACAAGATTAGGAGCACCAGGAATGCTTATAAAATAGTAATTAGGCTGTTTGGCTATCTAAAGGCCAAGCCCACCAAGTAACAGACACAAGTGGCATACTTAGACTGAAGCTAAACTTTACTCCACCTATTAGTTTATCAAAGTTTTTGGTGTGAGGCTGTCAGCCTACTCAAGTCTGTTGTGCTAATTCAGTTTCTTTTTTTTTTCTATTTTACACAAATTATTTTATTTGATTATTTTAATCATAATATTGGCATGATATTCAGGGTGATTTACAAATGGCATTTTGTATTTAAGTTTTTAAAGCTTTGGAATACTTGTTACAGTTTTTTTTTTTTTTTTTTTTTTTGTTTGTTTTTTACTTTAAGTTCTGGGATACATGTGCAGAATGTACAGGTTTGTTACACAGGTGTACATGTACCATGGTGGTTTGCTGTACTTATCAACTCATCATCTAGGTTTTAAGCCCCACATGCATTAGGTATTTGTCCTAATGCTCTCCCTGCGCCTTGACCCCACCCCCCAACCGGCCCTGGTGTGTGATGTTCCCCTCCCTGTGTCCATGTGTTCTCATTGTTCAGGTCCCACTTATGAGTGAGAACATGAGATGTTAGGTTTTCTGTTTCCTGTGTTAGTTTGCTGAGAATGATGGCTTCCAGCTTCATCCATGTCCCTGCAAAGGACATGAACTTACTTTTTTTTATGACTGTATAGTATTCCATGGTGTATATGTGCCACATTTTCCTTATCCAGTCTATCATTGATGGGCATTTGGGTTGGTTCCAAGTCTTTGTTATTGTAAATAGTGCTGCGATAAACGTACGTGTGCATGTGTCTTTATAGTAGAATGATATATGATCCTTTGGGTATATACCCAGTAATGGGATTGCTGGGTCAAATGGTATTTTCTGGTTCTCAATCCTTGAGGAATTGCCACACTATCTCCCACAATGGTTGAACTAATTTATACTCCCACCAACAGTGTAAAAGCATTCCTGTTTCTCCATAGCCTTGCTAGCATCTGTTGTTTCCTGACTTAATCACCATTCTGATTGGCTTGAGGTGGTAGCTCATCGTGGTTTTGATTTGCATTTCTTATTGACCAGTGAGGATGAGCTTTTTTTCATATGTTTGTGGGCTGTGTAAACGTCTTCTTTTGCGAAGTGTCTGTTCATATCCTTTGCCCACTTTTTGATGGGGTTATTTCTTGTAAATTTAAGTTCCTTGTAGATAAATGTTTATGTCTGTTGGCTCTTAGATTTGTAATAGAAATGTTAAAACTCACTACTCCTTGGTTTGTAGTAGAAACACCAATATTCACTGCCCTAAAAGATTTATTGTCACTATTAGTTACTCATAATATTAAAAGCCTGCATAAATTTCATTAAATGTCTATAGTGCCAAATTCAGTATGTTGACATTTTGTGATTGCTAAGTATAAATTAACTCTGCCCCTCTGTTGATTATTTAGGGTCCTATTTGATTTGAGTTTCTTTTATCTGTATTGCATGTAGTAGGGCTGTTTCATAAGTGTCCTCCAGATAAATGAGATAAGGCTAGCAAATGTTAAGAAAATTCTTTAAAGTCATTTCTTCCAACACAATAAGTAATTTAGATTTTATTATACATTACTAATATGCATTTTTTCCATATTTGTTTAACCATCTTAACTATTTCAAGTATACTATTCAGTGGTATTAAATATATTCATAATATGTAGCCATTGGTGCCATCCATCTCCATAACACTTCCCATCTTGTAAAATTGAAACTATACCTTTTTAACGGGAACTCTCTATTTTGCCTTTCCCCTCTCCTTCTGACAACCACCATCCTACTTTCTGTCTCCTTGATTTTGACTACTCTCAGTACCTCATATAAGTGGAGTCGTATAGTATGTGTCTTTTTGTGACTGGCTTATTTCACTTAGCATAATGTCCTAGTTATGCTAAGTTAATCTGTGTTGTAGCATATATCATTTCCTTCCTTTTAAATGCTGAATAATATTCTGTTTTATGTATACCACATTTTGCCTCTCTGTCCATCCATCAATTGACACTTGGGTGGCTTTCATGTTTTAGTTACTGTGAACCATGCAGTTATGAACATGGGTGTACAAGTAACTCTTTGAGACCCTGCTTTCAACTCTTTTGTGCATATACCTGGAAGTGGAATTGCTGTATCATATGTAATGCCAGTTTTCATTTTTTTAGGAAACATCATACTGTTTTCCACAGCTGCTGTACCATTTTACATTCCTACCAGCAGCACACAGGGTTTCAGTTTCTCCACAACCTTGACAACACACGTCATTATTATTGTTTTTTGTTAGTAGCCATCCTTATAGGTCTGAGATGGTAACAGTTGCTTTCTTTTATAAAGGAGTACAATGATTATCATTCTGTAATTGCTTTGTATAATTATACTGGTACTATTATTTTTCATGAATACGTATAAACAAATGAATGTGAAAATACAGATTTTAAGAACAGGTTTCTTAGGCTTAAGTCTCAAATGTTCCTTCTTCTGTTTTTATTGTTAAAGGTACTATATCTTTGGCTTAACTTAAACTCTATATTGAATTTAAATAAATATTTTGACTGACTACTGGTTAAAAGTATTTCAAATCTAACTTTTTTTTAAAAAAAAGCAGATAAATAGTAATTCCTATCAGTTAATGTTGAATCTAATTTTGAATATAAGAATTGAAAACAGGATCATGAAGAGCTATTTGTCCTTCCATGTTCACAGCTGCGTTATTCACAAATTGCAAAATTTGGAGGCAACTCCAATGTCCATTGATGGGTAAATAGAGATCTAATTTTACTGTTCTACTATTCTTTTTACCTTTTCTCTGTTTTGATTTGTGTAAGATTGGTTGTGTAATACTGCATACTTTTTAAACTTAAGATGAGAAAATTATTTATATCAAAAAGACCATATTATTTATAGCTGTTTCTTTAACTTGCCGGAATAGCAAATGTTATGTCAAGTGTACTCAAATTTAAGTTGGAATGAACACAAAAGTTAAAGTTCATTTAAATGAGATGGTTTATAGGAAGTTCTCAGCATTGTAGTTAGTACAGAGTAAGAGCTCATATGTCAGCTGCCACAATTGTTCTGGACCCAGTTATTACTATTGTTAGAAATTGCCACCTGTAATCCCAGCAGTTTGGGAAGCTGAGGCGGGTGGATCACGAGGTCAGGAGATTGAGACCATCCAGGCTAACACGGTGAAACCTCGTCTCTACTAAAAATACAAAAACTTAGCCAGGCATGGTGGCGTGCGCCTGTAGTCCCAGCTAGTTAGGAGGCTGAGGCAGGAGAATGGCGTGAACCCAGGAGGCAGAACTTGTAGTGAGCCAAGATTGTGCCACTGCGCTCCAGCCCTGGCGACAGAGCAAAACTCCGTGTCAAAAAAAAAAAAAAAAATTGCTGCAAAGTTAACTTGAATTATAGGTTGTTATTCTGATAGTACTGTTGATCTCTTGGGACATGGGACAGAGAAGGCTATTTGGGCATCATATACTATATAGAAAGAGTTATGAGTAGAGGGAATCAGGGTAGTGAATTTGTTAAGTGAATGTATATACACATATAGATAACTGTGATTAAGTACATACGTATTTAGTAAAACTTGGTTTATTATTTATTTCCACAGCTTTATATTCTGTTATATTGTTCTGTGTGTTCTTCTGGATCCCTTTTGTCTACTTCTATTATGAAGAAAAGGATGATGATGATACTAGTAAATGTACTGTAAGTATCTTTATTTTAGAGGCCTCAGTTTAGGAAAGAAAAATAATATTTCCTGCTTTTTCAGAGAATGACATGACTGGATTTTTTTATAGAGCAGTGTTGTCTGATAGAAATGCAATGTTAGCTAAATTAAAATAAAAAGAAACAGTTGAAATTAATTTTAATTATACATTGTATTTAACATAATATATTCCAAATATTATTTCAAATATAGTCAAACTAGTAATGAAATATTAAGTTTCTTTTCTTCACACTAAGTCTTTGAAATTTGGGTTGTATTTTACACAACAGTTCAAGCTAGCCACATTTCAAGTGCTTTCTAGCCACATGTGGCTTTTGACTATTATTTTAGACAAAGCAATTCTAGATCAGGCATACAAAATTTTTTCTGTAGAAGGCCAGGAGGTAAATAATTTAGGATTTGTGGGCTATATGGTCTCTGTCTTAGCTACTCAAGTCTGCCATTATAGTGTTAAAAGTATTCAGAGACAATGAACATTTTATAATCCAATAAAACAGAAAATGAATCAGATGTGGCACACTGAATGTAGTTTGCTGGCCCCTGTTCAAAAGCATAAAGAAGGAGCACTTACAGGTTGTACTTACTAATCCAGGATAAGGCTGACTTTCTTTTTAGACGGGTGCTGTGGCTCATGCCTGTAATTCCAGCACTTTGGGAGGCCAAGGTGGGCAGATCACCTGAGGTCAGGAGTTAGAGACCAGCCTGGCCAACATGGCGAAAACTTGTCTCTAGTAAAAGTACAAAAGTATAAAAATTAGCTGGGCATGGTGGTGGGGGCCTGCTACTCTGGAGGCTGAGGCAGGAGAATTGCTTGAACCCAGGAGGCGGAGGTTGCAGTGAGCCGAGATTGCACCACTGTACTCCAGCCTGGGCGACAAGAGTGAGACTTTGTCTCAAAAAAAAAAGACTGACTTTTTAAAAACCTGACAAATACAGCACACATGTGTGTTCAAAACTGCAGATCATTATCACTTAAGTATTGGTATAAACATCTTAATTAAAATAATAGTAAATATAATTCAGGAGAATCTTAGAAATATATTAATATTATATAACTGAGTTGGGCTTGTCTCTCAATTGCATGGGTGACTGAAAATCAGGAAATCTATTAGTATATAGTAATTAATAGGCCAAAGAAAAAATGTATATTAAAAGGTATATGTCAAAATCAAATACTTTGTAATTTAGGGGAACAGTTGTACAATAAGACTAAATGTCTTATCTTTTTGACTTACAGGATTTTGTTTTATACCTTGTTTACATTTGTATTTAAATATAGAAATAAATACATTCAGTCAAAAGCTAGCATCATGCTTAATCATGCTTAAAACCTCAAGAGCATTGGCATTAAGATTAGGAGCAAGTAAATTAGCAGTATTTTAAATGACTCTTAGAGTGATAATCAGCGTAGTGTTAGAGAAAAAAAATTAGACATTTAAATATTTATAAAGAGAGTCAAAACTGTTATTTGCAGATACTATATTACTCTATATTTGGAAAAACCAAGGTATGTAAAGTAAGGTAGCTAGTTGCAAATTTAACAAAATCTCCATGAGATTTATGCAGTCTTTTTCACTTCTTCCAGAGTGCACATTCTTCTACCCTTTGGTTGATCTTAGGATCTTCTTTATCTTTTCTTCAGTTTTTTTCCTAAGGGATATCTTATCCCCTTTGTGAATAAGAACTTACTGTGTGAAACATTCATTCAAATTTTAAAAGATCATTTTTAGATACTTCATTAGTCTGAGAGCACAAATGTTATTTCTGACTGATTTAAAATGAGATTATTATTCACTTTTTAATTCATATTCAGAATGTCCAGCTTTGTCTTTATTTGCTTTTCTTAGCCTTTGGAGTATATTATAGGCACCAAGCAAAAGATAGTTTTTAAATTCCCAAGTTCCTGGTCTTAAGTACTTACTTAATCACTTATAACCTATGTGCCTTAGGAGAGATTATTAACTTCTCTGGACTTCAGCTTCGTTATGTCTAAAGTAAAGATGAGAACAGCCTATCTTAGAGTTGTTATGAGAATTAAATGAGTTAACATATGTGATGTTCTTATCAGTGCCTGGCATATGTTATATATGTATGAAATATATATTAATGTATGTAAGTATATATACACATATACACATACATAAATACATAAATATTTATGAATATGTGTATAAATATAAATACATAAATATTTATGTATGTATTTATATATTTATACTCATGTATATACTCAAACAAAAACGTGTATATTGTGTTGATTATTATAAACCATTTTGATGAATTGGATTGGGGCATTGTAGATTCTGAAAGCTGTCTGCGGGAGTATTACATATTCTGATAATTTTACTCAAGATGCCTACTGGAGAATCAACTATACTTTAGGTGGTTTGGTTTTTACAAGGGCATAACTATTGAAAAGATTTTAAAAATCTCATATTTTGCAAAGATACTTAAGATGTAGTATATCCGTTTTCTTTAAATTTTAAGGTTTTCAACCTTAGTTGAAACCTTTGACTGTAAGCGTGTATCTGATGTGAAGGTACTGTTAAACTGTTGCAAGAATATTTTATATTTTAAAGGGCTTGCTAAATGTTATACTTTTTTCTCCTTGGCATCTAGCAAATTAAAACGGCACTCAAGTATACTTTGGGATTTGTTGTGATTTGTGCACTGCTTCTTTTAGTTGGGTAAGTCTTGGTTTTTTTTTTTTAACCATGAAATGGAAATAGAATTATTTGAAAAAAAATAATAAAAGGATCATTCAGAAAAATCTAGGAAAGAAAAAAAAATGTAAAAAAAAAGAGAACAATCCACTCTCTGTATCTCCAAAGAACAATAGCCACAATTTAACAGTTTTGTCTGTCGTTTCATCTAGACATTTTTATGTGCTTGAGTGCATGCAGAGTGCACCTCCCTTCTTGCATGCACCCTACATGTTTTAGTTTTACACAAATGTGATTATATTTTATATAATTCTTGGTAATCTACTTCTTAACATATTGCGGGCATCTCTTCAGGATAGTAAGTGTAGATCCATCAATTTTGACTACATTTCATTTCCTTCTAAGGATACAAAAATATATTTAACTCATCTTCTAGTGATAACTGCTTAGACATTTATAATGTTTCCCCATTATTATAAATAACACTTTGATGAAAATCCTTGTCTGTGCATCTTTTCAGATTTGACCCTATCAGTCTTTAAATCTTTGTCAGTGAATTTCCTTTCTTAATTCTTCTTGTTTTTATACTTATATCAATAACATTTTGCTTATTTGTTTGTACATCTAAAATTTATCCTTGTTAATGGAAGACATTTATCTTTGTTAAAAATAGGTCATTAGTCTTTCTTTTTTTATGTTAGGAAATACATTAGGAATTAATTAATTTTTTGAAGTTTCTGTTTATAATTTAGTCTCACAATTTTCAATACATAACTTCCCATAAATAAAAAAATTACTTACTATATGTAACTTGTAATAGGAATAAAATTGTTGAGTAACTTTTTGTAGTTCCCGGAGTTCTTAGGATGCATGTGTTTTATAGTCAAGTCATATTTTCAATTATTTTTACCTGCCTTGATGTGTCATGAAAAAGAGTACTTTTTGTAAGCACCTTTTTTAGTGGTTTTTCTATGTATTTTAGCTACCGAGTATATTTCTAAAGTATTTTTTTGGCTTTTTAAAGAAAGCTAAATCTACTTATGTTAATTTCCCTTGTTAACGTAGATGTCCCTTGTATGTAAACCTGAATTATCTAGAGTGGAAATCAGCAAACTTTTCTTAAAGCATAGGTAGTATTTTAGATTTACTGTCTGTATGGTCTCTGTGTCTCTCTTGTAGCTCAGAAGTAATCAGACAATACGTAAAGAACATGACTGTGTTCTAGAAAAACTTTATTTATAAACACAGGCAGCCAGTAGTTTGCCAACTCCTATTTTAGAACATGAATGAGAATCACCAATAAAACTACAAATCTTTGCAACAGTCAGAATAAAAGAGTAGTGAATTAAAGATTATTAGCGTTTCAGCCATCTAGGACAGTGTTCTTCTCATTACCATATGTAAATGTTTGAATGAGGTGTGCATTTAGGTTAAGTGATTGACAAAAGGTCTTGAAATATTTTTGAAGGTGGCATATTCAAAGTTTCTTTTAAGATAAAACTAGATAATTTTATGGCAAAGCCGTGATCTAGATTTAACTGATTCATGTAGCTCATACGTTTTTGGAACACTTATGTGTTGGATGCTATGCTAGATCTTTGGGCTAAAGATAGAGGACCATGGTCTCTGTCTTCTAGGTTTACGTTGTGGAGGCATGCAGATTCATACCTTGAATTACAGTGTTTAAGTGCTCTGATAGGAGATACATACCAGATGTTGATGGTAGAGGAGCAGGTTCTTACTCTGCCTTGAAGAATCAGGAGATCTAAGAGGAAGTAATATTTGAGTTGAGATTTGAAGGAATGGGAATTGGTCAGCTGACTTGACAAATGAAAAAGATGAATAACATGTATATTGTTTTCGTCTGCTTTGGCTGCCATAACAAAGTATCATAGACTGGGTGGCTTAAATAACAGTCATTTATTTTCTCATGGTTCTGGAGGCTAGAAGTCTATGTTAAAGGTGCTGGCAAGTTTGGTTTCTGGTGAGAGTTCTCTTCCTGGCTTATCGAAGGCCACCTTCTTGCTCTGTCTTCACGTGGTCTTTCCTTTGTGCTTGCAGAGGGAGAAGGGGAGGGGGAGAGTGAGAGGGTGCAGGAGAGAGAAGGAGCACTCTCTGGTGTCTCTTCCTCTTCTTATAAGGACTCCAATGCCATGGGATAATTAGGGCCCCACCCTTTTGACTTCATTTAACCCTAATTCCCTTGCTAAAGGACCTGTATCCAAATACCATTACATTGGGAGTTAGGGCTTCAACATAGGGATTTTCTTTTTTCTTTTTTTGGGGGGAGTTGAGTACAGGGGATTTTATTGATAGTGCATGACAAAGTGGTACTCCCTAGGTTCCTCCTTCTTCAGGGGATCTGGCACGGAAACTGTGACCAGGGGAGATTCTCAGTGTGGTGGGGGACTGAGTGTGGCAGGGACTCCCCATCAGCTGAGGGCCTCTCTCTCCCTGTTGTGCTCTTGCTGGAGCTGGTGATCAGGGGCTCTTACCCCTTGGAAGCCAGGTGGAACATGAGTTCCACCACCCTGTTGCTATAGCCAAATTCGTTGTCATATCTGAAAATGAGTTTGAAAAAGTAGTTGTTGAAGGCAGGCCAGCCCAGCATCGAAGGTGAAAGAGTATCACTAGTAAAGTTGGAAGAGACAACCTGTTGCTCAGGGTAGTCCAGGATGCCTTTGAGGGGACCCTCCAATGCCTGCTTTACCATCTTGTTTATGTCATCATATTTGGCAAGTTTCTCCAGATGGCACATCAGGTCCACAACCAATACATTGGCAGTGGGGACATGGAAAGTTATGCCAGTAAGCTTCCTGTAGCTCAGGGATGACCTTGCCCACAGCCTTGGCAACACAGGTAGAGGCAGGGATGATGTTCTGGAGAGCCTCACAGCTGTCACACCACAGTTTCCCAAAGGGACCATTCATGGTCTTCTGAGTGCCAATGATGGCTTGAACTGTGGTCATTAGTCCCTCCATGATGCCACAGTTGTCCAGGGTGACGAAGCAGTTGATAGTGCGGGAGGCATTGCTGACCATCTTTATGCCATTTTTGTACTTCTCATGGTTCAGGCCCATCACATGGGGGTATCAGCAGAAGGGGCAGAGATGAGGATCCTTTTGGCTCCCTGCTCTAAGAGAATCTCAGCCTTCTTCATGGTAGTAAAGATGCTGGTAGACTTCACAACATTATCAGCGCCCAAATCACCCCATTTAATTTTGGTGAAATCTTGCACCTGTAAGAAGAGGGTGATGAAATTTCCATTGACGACAAGCTTCCAGTTCTCAGCCTTGACAGTGCCCTACAACTTGCCATGGGTGGAGTCATGTTGGAACATTTAGGCCATATAGTTAAGGTCACTGAGGGGTCAATGATGGCAACAATATTCCCTTTGCCAGGGTTAAAAGGAGCTCTGGTGACCAGGCACCACTATGACCAAATCCATTCACTCTGCCCTTCACTTCCACCGTGATGTCTCAGTGATGTGGCTGGTGCTGCTGCAAAGATGAGGCTCTCTATAGAGTGGAGGAGCAGAGAGCCAGCAACATATGAATTTTTAGGGAGCACAATTCAGTCTATAAAATATATTAACTGGGAGGCTGAGGTTAGCATGGAGTGTTTGAAGAATGACATAAAAAGTATGATGTGAATTTAGATTTCCCCTCCCCTCAAAAAAAGAAGGGTAATGTGATGTTTCAAGTGTTCCTGTGGGCAAGTGACAGGATATGACATTAGCCAGGTGAGTAGACTCTGGGTCTTACATGCCATATTTAAGAAATTTTTAATTTTGTCCTACTGAGTAATTGAAAGACAGTGAAGATGTGTATATATTTGTGTACATGAATGCATGAAAATAAATATATATGACCTTACTTTAAGAGTTACAGCACTGTGGGCTGGGCATGGTGACTCCTGCATGTAATCCCAGCACTTTGGGAGGTCCAGGCAGGTGGATCACGAGGTCAAGAGATCGGGACCATGCTGGCCAACGTAGTGAATTCTACTAAAAATACAAAAATTAGCTGGGCATAGTGGTTTGCACCTGTAATCCTAGCTACTTGGGAGGCTAAGGCAGGAGAACAGCTTGAACCTGGGAGGCTGAGGTTGCAGTGAGCTGAGATTGAGCCACTGCATTCCATCCTGGCAACAGAGTGACACTCCGTCTCAAAAAAAAAAAAAAAAAAAAAGAGTTACAACACTGTGGAGGATGCATTGCAAGAGGATTTTGGGTGTTGGGTTGGAGAAGTGGTATGTAAATAGTAGGTAGGAAGATCAGTTAAGTAGCCATTATATAAGTTCAGGTGAGCTTTGGAACTACAGTGGTTACCAAGAGAACAGAGAGGAAGAAGCATAAGCTATTTGGAAGATAAATATGAATTGACTTGGTGATGGAGTGTAAGAAGTGAACATCTTATTTTCAGTCTGCTGAATTCATCATTTCCATTTCATATCTACTGAAATTCATTAGCTTTTTCTTTGTCTCTTTCTGAAGAGATAATGTGTGTTAAGCTAATTCAGTGAATCAGATTGGGTAGAAAATATTTTTACTAAGCAGTTTTTTAGTTTTATTGTTTTCAAGGGCATGAGGGAAAAGTTTTGTCTTACTAGACTCTAGTTTGTATTTTAACCCATTTATGCCAGAGGTTGCAAATTTTTTTAGTGAAAAATCAGACCTTGGTGATGACCTTGAGCAGTGAAATATAAATAACTCCCACAAGCTTAATATTCCAATAATGGAACACTAGTCATAAATGGCTTAATCTAATACTTTGTGTTTTTGGAAGCTGAGGTGCTCTGTATACATTTTTTTTTTTCTAGAAGGGCTGAAATTTTAAAAGTATGTGAACCTTTCTACCACACAAATCCCGTTGTATACTAACTCTTGGTTACTTTAATGTCATCACCATTTCATTTAGTATACTAAACACCTGATAATCTTAACTGCTGTCTCTTTCCTCAGAACTGATGTATCTGTATTATAACTTTGACTTCAGTTGCCTTTTCATCTGTTGGTAGGCATTTCTTTTTCTTTATAGATCTTTGTCTGTGGGGCTGCTATTTGGCTAATGAACAGTGGTTTATTCTTTCTGGTGGTTAAAAGGTTGACATGCTTTTATACCAGTCAGGTTCTGCTCTGCCCTCTGGGTCTTCTTACCCTACATCAGTTCCATTGAAAAAGGAAAGCCAGGTTCATCAGAGTCCTGCAGAATTAAGGCCAGGGTCTGTGTTGATTAATTAGTGCCTTTGCCATATTTTGAGTTCGACTTATGGATGTTTTCTTAGTTTATGTGAAAATATTTTAGGTCTGTTTTTTAGATTATAAAATCCTGGTGGTAAAGTGATTTAGGAACCTGCTTTGAATTTGTGCTTTCATTTATACCTAAAATACTAAGTGCTCAAATGTTAACTCTCTGATGGATGCTTTCGAAGTATTTTCCTGAAGTCATTCTGATAGTAGTGTGGGTCACTTAGTCTTTTTAGTCTTTTTAGTTTTTTTTTGGTTATATAAGGTTCCCTCTGGTGTTACTCTTTTTTGAATATTTGAACTACTAGATAATTCTGCTCAGGAGTTGAATGTGTGTCATCAAGAGCAAGGGTTAATTAATTTTCTTCTCTTTCTGTACAATATCTTTGATTACCTAAAACTGACATACTGAGTTTTAGAATATTGCATATTGAGCCCTATGAGTATGAATGCTATTTTTACATATCCTAATACATATTTCTCTTTTAATAGTACAATAGGTGGTATTTTGTACAATATAGAAATTTTTGTTTTCCCACTCTCACAGATTGGTTATTCCCAACTAACAAGTTCAGAACATACTTTCTGGGATATCCAGAACAAACTGTTCAAATAAAGGAATATCATATAGGTAGTTTTTTCTTGCTTAGTTTATATTTGTGTTATGGATGTATGATATACAAAAATGTTATAATTTTATTTCTTGATTCCACACCTCTGCTCTTTGTTTGATTTCATACCTCGGTCAACAGATAATAAACTTTCTGCATTTATTCCTCTATGCCTGTGAGTAAGCACCTTTTTTTTTTCTAAAAGTGGGGAGAAATAAGTCTCGAAGATTAAGAAGAATATAGTAAACTGAAGTCAATGCAGATTGTTAGAAATTTAACCTCCTGACATGCTGTGCCCAGTCATTTTTAAAATAAGAGTTATCAGTAGCAATAGGAAATAGGGATTCTTTTTTTCTTTTTTTTTACTTCCTACTCCTGTTTGTTCCTACCCATATGCAACCTAAGGGATACCCAGCTCTTTACCTTAATCTCTTGATTATCTCCTTGTTATTGATATGGGCTAGATAATAAAGTGAACATTTATTTATTCTACCTTTTCCCAGTCTAAGATCATAGAGCAGATCCTAGGATGCTAGCTATCTCTATTATTTCTACAGTTCCTCTTCACCTGTGGGTTGAAAAACAAATAGTTTTGAAACTACTTTCATTGTGTCTGTTGGATAGAATCTTGAAAGATATATTAATAGAAAAATACTAATAAAAAAGTAATCACTTCAATTCCACAGTGAGACATTTACTGTTTATTCTAATATATTTCTTTTCTTAAATAATTGCATATATTTACATTCTGCTTTACTGATTTAATACAGATGTCCTTAACCTTTTTTGTGGATTGTTTTGATCGTCTAAAACCTATGGTCCATTCTCAAAATATTATATATTTATTTTTTGTTTTTTCCCAGCTTTATTAATGTATAATAAAGTATTTTAAGTGCAGAAAACATACGGGATTACAAGGGAAATTTTACTGAATGCAGTAATACAACTATTAAAACAAATTTGCAATGAAGTAAATGCATAGGTATTTAACTCTTCACTCCCCTCTGTGCATAGTACAGATTTTATTTATTTATTGTTTTGGAGAAAAATAATTTGAGTTTCAAACTATCTAATTTAACGTTTTATCTTTAAAGCTATTAAAACAATTATTTTCTCTTTTGTAGTGCCTTTGTTCCATTGAATGTTCCCAATAACAAAAATTCTACAGAGTGGGAAAAAGTGAAGTTCCTATTTGAAGAACTTGGAAGTAGTCGTAAGTGTTGTTTTTTTTTTTTAAAAAAAAACATAGTAATTTATATTTCCTGACTTCGAACTTTTGAGAAGCAGTCTATTTGTATTTTGTTAAGAATTTAACCTCAGCTGGGTGTGGTGGCTCGTGCCTGTAATCCCAGCACTTTGGGAGGCTGAGGGGTTGGGGGTGGATCACAAGGTTAGGAGTTTGAGACCAGCTTGGCCAACGTGGCCAAATCCCGTCTCTACTAAAAATACAAAAATTAGCTGGGTGCAGTGGCAGGTGCCTGTAATCCCAGCTGCTCGGGAGGCTGAGGCAGGAGAATCTCTTGAACCCAGGAGGTGGAGGTTGCAGTGAGCTGAGATTGCGCCATTGCATTCCAGCCTGGGGGACTGAGTAAGGCAGTGCGAGGCTTTGTCTCAAAAAAAAAAATTTAACTCCAGTTTTTCTAACTCGTTGTTTTGAACCTAATGCTAGACAAATTAGAAGTATTGCGTTCTTAAGGTTTGCTTTTAGCCTTCTAGCTATTACGTAGCTATTTTCTTGACCTCTTCATAAAATTACCATGTTGAAAGAAAATTTAATCTTTTCTTCAAAGTATTTTAGCAGTGAGGCTCTTATAATTTCTGATTCACTTAGGATAATATAAAATAATATGCTAAAGAAATATACTGGGTATATTGGGTTTCATTTTTAATTTTTAATTAGTAAGAGAGAACCTTTATGTTTTTGTTTGAGATTAAATCATCTTTTATATAAAATATAAATTACAGAGGTTTTATATGAATTAAATACTGTTTTAGAAATTTACCTCATCAAAATATTTTGGCATGGCTTTTCTAGAAGTTTTCCTTAACTTACTCTGTGTGACCTAGGTTTTTACAGAAAAAAAAAAAGGCTCATGGGTTAGATTAAGAAAGTTGCTTAATCATTGAAAAAATAACTTTGGCGTTAGAAAGTGATGTTAAAATACTGTGTATCATATTAAAAATTCCTTGTGCATTTGAACATAGCAACCTTATTTTTAAAGATACCTAGTGTACTTATTTCTATTAATATTATGCAGAAAAATTGCTTTTTTGACTATTCTAATAGGTACTGTACATTCTTTGAGCAGCACTTCTTTCTTTTTACCCAGGTACAGTACTAAACAATGATTAAATTAAGTCTTGCAGTCTGCTGTATGAGTTCTTAATTTTCTTGATTTCCACTTAAGATCTCATGTTGTACATTGTGATTCATTAATATCTTACTGATACCAGCAAGAATAAGGGTAGCAGGCCTGGCATCTACTAATACTGAATCGTCAGATTTATATACCTTGATTCTATCGCTGATAAATTAATGGCTTCTTTTCTTGGAGTTAACTCCTTTAGATATCTTGAGTAACTACTCTTCTATCCTAAACATTATTTCATAAGTTATACTTTGAGTATTAGTATAACTTGAATTGGTGATTAGATAGGTAGCATTATTCTGTTTTTTTGTAATTCCATTCTCTTTAGTCTTTATTTTTTTTTTGTCTCCAATGTTAAATACCATATTCTAGTATACATGTTACTTATCACTCTAGATCAGCTATGTAAATCCAAAACAGTTACCCAACTATTCTTAAATTTTAGTCCTTTTGTCTCTCATCCTGCTCCTTGCATTGCATTTTTCAGGCATCAAGGGTATAAACCTTTTTATTGATTGATTGATTGATTGAGATGGAGTCTTGCTCTGTCACCCAGGCTAGAGTACAGTGACGTGATCTTGGCTCACTACAACCTCTGCCTCCCTGTTTCAAGTGGTTCTTCTGCCTCAACCTCCTGAGTAGCCGCCACCATGCTCAGCTAATTTTTGTATTTTTAGTAGAGATGGGGTTTCACCATATTGGCCAGGCTTGTCTCGAACTCCTGACCTTGTAATCCGCCCACCTTGGCCTCCCAAAGTTCTGGCATTACAGACATGAGTCACTGCACCTGGCCTATATAACCTTTTTTAAGAAAATGCTTTATATGTAGTAAAATGCATAGATCTCATGATACGTGTATACAGTCACTGTAACCGATTGCAGTTAAGGTATAGAACACATCCATCACTCCAGCAATTTTTTTGCAGTATGCCATTCAGTTAATATCATCTCCCAGGAGAGGCACCATTGTTATAATTTCTGCCACTGTATATTAGTTATATTAGTTTTGCTTTTTTTGAATATTGTAAGTGGAATTCTGATTCCATTTATTAATGATTCTTTTTTGTGTATGCCTGGCATTTTTCATGAAATAATGTTTTAAAATTCATTTGTATTAGTAGTTCCTTTTTATTGCAGCAGAGTAATGCATTTTGTGACTATACTACAACTTGTTTACAATAGGATTTATTATATCATAAAGATGTATATGCCCAGATCAAAGACCCCCTAACATGTAAAGAGAATGCATCTTCAAGTATCTTCAGCACATGTTTTTATTCATCTTTTATCCAAATGGGAATAATTAATAATGATCAATTTTGAGTTATTTGGTTCAGATGATTTGGACTATTAGTAATATTAACATTTTGATTGGCCAAATATGTCAACATGTCTATTTTATCATTTCTAAGGCACATAATTTTTCAGATTTTTACATCTCTGTTTGGGAGATATATTTTACAAGTGATAGTACCTTAAAATTATTATCAGCCAGATTCAGACCCTCCTAGTTGTATGAACACGTTCTGTTGATACTTCTGATATGATCAATAAAGTAACAGCATCAAAATGTCTTTGATTTGATAAAAAGTAGTTTTAAAAAATTAAGGCTTAAAAATTTGCCTTGCATGATTGTGAATTTGTTAATAATATGCTCTATGTGTTATACAAAACTGAGACATGAGTTTTAAGATGATAGATCATTATAATTTTATTAGTACTCATAAAAGATTAGTGTTAATACATTAAATTAATCGAAACCTTGTATTTGGTTCCACAGGACTTGCATTTAAACTCGATCAATACAGGCCTAATAGGACCTGTTTTAAAACTGGAAAAAGTATTGCTCCTACCTAAGAATATTCAAATTTGCATAGTGTTTTATTACATAATTTGATATATTTATGTGAAAGTATCATTCCTGCCCCTCACTCTTTGACCTTCCTTTAGATAATTTCCTAAATCCAACTAGTTAGCATAGTATTTTGTGTGTGTGTGTGTGTGTGTATTTTTGAATCTATTTTCTAGGTGTGTTTGCTTTTATTTTTCTGCCAAGTGGGCAAGCTTCTCCTTTCAAGTTAAAAAGTGAAATAAACTCTTTAATTAAGATTTTAGTTTTTGACTGTCTATTAAGAACTGATTTGAAAATTAAGAACAAAGAAACTGAAAGTCTCAAGACTGAGTGAGGGGAGAAGGGAGAAAGAGTCAAGGTCAGTAGCTTTCCTATGAAATGTTATTTCTCAGGGTCTGCCATTAAGAAAGGCCATGTGATCTTTTTAATCACCTTTTGAACATCTGGTATTTTACTGATCTCTTTTTGGGCCCAATAATTAGCCAGTAATTTTCCTCTTAATTTTAAGAGGTGAAGGAAAGAAAATCTCAGCTAGTCTGAAAGATTTTTTACAAATCAATTTTTAAAAAGTCCTTTAGAAACTCTTTTCTCCACTTGGAGTTAGCACTTCAAGAATACGGTAATACATAGTGGTTTTTATTTTTTCAAAATATGTAAGCCGCTCAGCTTTCTATGTTGATTTGCCAAATATAAGTATTTGAGTAGTGTATATGTACATTTTTAACAGTTTTTCTTTCTTCACAGATGGTTTAGCTGCGTTGTCATTTTCTATCAGTTCTCTGACCTTGATCGGAATGTTGGCAGCTATAACTTACACAGTAAGTGAAATGGGGATAATTGAGTTAAAATTGCCTTATAAAGCAATTTTTTTACCTTAGTAATTTATTAAACTTTATTGTTTTCCTTTATAATATTTTGATTCTTTTTCAATTTTTCTTCAGTTTTCTTTACTTAAGGGTAAAATTTTAACTACTTAGTCATCATCATTTTAGCTGTATTTGTGCAATGTAATAATCACGTTTTATAACTTACGAACCTTGAAGGTGATTATATACTGTTATAATCTATGCTTATAAATCCATATATTAGATTTATAATATCTGATATGCTTATAAATCTATATGCCTATAGATTTATAAGCATATTAATACATTTATAATATAAGCATGTATAATATAAGCATATTAATAGATTTATAAGCATGCTTATAAATCTATATGCATCTATAAGCATATAGATTTATAAGCATATTAATAGATTTATAAGCATATTAGAACTCTGAACCATAGACCATATCTATTACTGATTTTGCAGATTTACTCTACTTGGGAATATAGGGCTTTTAAAATCAGATATTTTATATAACTTGACACTTCTCTTGTATATGAAATCTATTCTTATACTCTCGACTTTTTTCCCCTTCAGTCTTCCTGGAAGTGGTAAGGTGTGAATTATAAATGACTGACCAAGTTGTATACAGACTTCTCTTTGAGTCTTTTGCTCACATTATAGATAAAAAGCTAGTAATAAATGCTTCTTTATTACCTATCTTGAGAGTTGTATAAACAGCATTAATATTATCTGGAACCTTTCAGGTTAATGAAGTTTATGTGGAAGCACTCTTAATTCTTGCAAAGATGAAAATTCTGGTTACAAAGGAAACTTTTTTGGGCATTTTCTTAAGATGTCTTCCTGTAGACATAAAGGAAATGGCTGTTACTGTAAGAACGGAATCTAGTTTTGTCGCATGATCATTCACGTGCCGTAATGTATAATAAAAGAACCCCAAAAGACGTACATTTCAGTGTCTTACAGGTGCTTATTTGGGTACTCAGTTTTATTATTCATTGACATTTTTGTGTTTTTATGGGATACCACGTAAGGAATTTGCTGTGTAATATCAGTGGGTGATATTCTTCTGTCTCACAGAATGTACAGTATAGTAGTTATCTTTTAAGAAGTAGTCACAAGTTAATAACAAATTAGGAATTAGACCTGGATTCTAATTGCTATTATTCTGTGACTGATCTGTTACGCTAATCTTGGGTTTGTCCTTTAACCTTTCTGGATCAGTGTCTTCCCTATTAAATCGAAATAGAAAATGTTCCACAGGGATTTTTGAAGGTCAGATGATACTATTTGTAAAAGTGCTTTGAAACCTATAGAGAAATGAGGATATAGCAATCAAACATTAGTCAGGAGAAAAAAAATAGAGAGAAATTCAATATGTAATGTCAATGTCAGGAACTATGAAGGGCCAAGATATTTACCCTACTTGTAACCTGCCAGTTTTATGAATGGCAACTGAAGATGTAAGACTTCTACTCATAGCAATAGCAGTAGCCATAGGATCAGCGTTTTTTTGTATTGGTTTCCCGAGTCCCAGTTCCCCTAGGGCAATGGGGAGAGAACTAGATGAGACCTGCACATAATTGAGTGCATTGCAGAAGAGGAACCCTGAGCTTAGGGAAGCTGAATCTTTTATAATGGATGGTAAGCATGCCTGTCCTTTGCTGCAGGGAAAGATATTTTGTGTATCTGCCAAGACTATTTGCTATACAAAGATCTTTGAAAAGATAGTACAGAAAAAAAAAAAGTGGTGGGTCGGGTGGGGGGGCGGTCAGTTAGCTCCTGGCTTGCAAAATATGCAGAAATGAAAGATGCACAGAGACATGTCTCCCAGTGGTCAGTTGGTAGATACTATGAGGAAAAATAAGGCAGCATAAGGAGATAGACAGTAGTAGAGGCTGAGACTACTGTAAAGATCAGGAATAGTTTCTAACATCTGAACAGAGACCTGAATGAAGTGAAAGTAAGTCATGACAGAAGAGTAAGGGTGAGGATCCTGAGGTGGGCATGTACATGCTACATTCAGATACTAGCAAGGAGGCAAAGCTATTGTGGCTGGAATTCAGTTGACAAGGGGAGTAGTAAAAGTTTCATTGAGAGGTAACAAGAGGCCATGTCATGTGAGCTTTATAGTCCGCAGTTAGGGTTTTGAATTTTATGCTGATTGAGAATAGAAACCACTGTAAGTTTTTAAATGGAAAAGTTCATGGGCTCTGACAAACATTTTAACAGTACTACTCTGGTGGCTCTGAATTAAATAAGCTATGAGGGTAGCAAGTGGGAGTGGAGAAAGTAAGTTGTTATTAAAACTATTTCAAAGAGAGCTTCTTTGTAGGAATGATATTATTGGAAAGAAATATTTTAAACTATTTTATATTTAACTGGAAACTTTGAAAATTATTTAAATCAATTGAACCAACATAATATTCATACTGAATTAGTTAAGCTATCCTTAAAAGAGCTTCACTTTTCTAGAATACAGCAGGTCCTCAATAACATTTTTTTTTTCATGTTTTCTTACAATGTTGATGTGAAAAAAGATGAGTTTCTGGCTAGGGCCACCGTGTGGAGTTTGCACGTTGTTTCCATGTCCGCGTGGGTTTTCTCTGGGTACTCTGGTTTCCTCCCACATTCCCAAGATGTGCACATTAGATGAATTGGTATGTCTGAAATTGTACCAGTAGGAGTTAGTGTAGGTATGTGTGAGTGTACCCTGCAGTTGGAATGGCATCCTGTCCAGTGTTGGTTCCTGCCTTGCAACCTGAACTGGTGGGATAGGCTCCAGCCACCCATGACCCTGAACTAAGAATAAGTGGGTTGAAAAATGAATGAATAAATGAATGCAAATTATTGTATAATAAAAATTCAAAAAGTATACTACATACAAGTGCATAACAATAATTGTAATACAAAAACGTTCAGCTAGCCCAACATTGTTGTTTGTTTTTGTTTTTGAACTGTGTGGTGGTAGGAGGTGCTCTTTATAATTTTCACTTTGCAAACATTTATTTCTTAATTTAACCCACTATGACCACAACCATCGTCACTCACTGATTCACCAAGTTGAGTATTTTGTTTTTATTGATCTTTCCTAAATGTATGTAGAGCTTACATTTATTTCAGTATTTAATATTAGATACTTTATTTATTTAGAAGTTTATTTAGAATCTTTATTTAGAAGTTTGATGATGTTCTTGTGACCAGAAATATGCCATAGGAAGTTAGCTCTTGTTTACATCAATTAGTCTGTAGTAAAATTGGTTTTGTTGCCAGGCGCAGTGACTCATGCCTGTAATTCCAGCACTTTGGGAGGCCGAGTTGGGCGGGTCACCTGAGGTCAGGAGTTTGAGACCAGCCTGGCTAACATGGTGAAACCCCATCTCTACTAAAAATACAAAAATTAGCTGGGCTTAGTGGTGGGCTCCTGTAATCCCAGCTACTCAGGAGACTGAGGCAGGAGAATCGCTTGAACTTGGAAGGCAGAGGTTACAGTGAGCCGAGATTGCGCCATTTCACTCCAGCCTGGGCGACAAGAGCGAGACTCCGTCTCACACACACACACACAAAATTGGTTGGTTATACATCATTTCACTTAAAGTCACAGTTTCCAAGAATCCATTGATGACATTATGTGATACTTTACTGTATAGAGGGCTGGGCTGAAAGATATTGATAAAACAACCAGAGGACCTTATAATGATGGGATTGAGGGTGGGAACCAGGAACACATAAAAGAGTTTGCTAAATAGGTAGAGAGGGGCCACTTAAGGCCTAAGGCCAAGGGAGAGATTCCAGTGTAACAGCCTGCTAAGATCCAGCTTCCCAGCAGTTATTTGTTTTCTTTAAGCAGCATAAACAATAAAATTAAAATAATTGGTGTGGAGAGGCTGAAATGTGGATCCATGGGTCTCCTGACCTACTTTCCCATCTAAATTTCTTCATCTTTATAGTGGTATAATATTTAAGTAATAAAGTAGTGAGGATTTAATTAAATAATCCACCAAGTCTTGGAATCTACTGGCCACTTAATAAATAGTCACTATTAGCTTAAACAGTTGAATATTCACAGTTTCATATGGTTCAAACTATAGTTCCCACCTCTTTCCTCTCTCACTGAAAATAAACCAAATGCAAAAAGCAGTTGTATTATGATCAGTGAGAGTGTTCCTTATTCAAAGGTAAGTCAAAAGGCCTTGGTAATTGAATGGTGGTTAGTTGGGGTTGGGGAAGTGTGGATAGAGAGATAATATCTTTTGAATAGCACTACAAGTACTCAAAGCTCAGGCTTTGCTACCAAGCCATGATTTGACCAATTTTAATACCTATGATATATAGAGGGAGGGGAAGAGGAAGGTAGATGATGCTCTGTTCAAGAGGGGCATCATGGTGTGTATAGCTGAGCTCCATTCGTGGGTGTGAGTTTGTTGAAAATCTATTACCTGATCCCAAGCTTCCCCATCTGTAAAAATGAGCCAATAATACCTACTGGAATTTTAGTAAAAATTCAGTGAAAACCAACAATTTATAGATATGTGGTTTTATTGTAGATAGATGGTTAAATAGTATAATTATCATACTTGCTTGTAGTTGGGATACAAAGTTTTCTCCTAACTTACCTTGGAAAAGCTTGAGAACTGGGCATTTCTTGTGACAGCTTAAAAGAGGGTATAGAAAATATTCATGAGGAGTAGAAGACGTTTAATCTTAATTATTAAGTACCCAGAGTGGGAAATTAATACTTGAGTACTTTGACCCTACATATATGAAATGTAAAAATCGTGTTTCTTACAGAATTTGTAACTGAATTTTGTTTTGTATTGAGGCTAGAGAAGTTCTTTTATTTTATGTGTCAGTCAAGTGTGAATTTCTTAGTTATGTATTATTGTTTATTTTTGAAACTAGTTGATTATTTAAATTTTACTGATTCTGACTACTGTACCCTGTATTAATGAATGCCAAATAATTAGGC